AAATCCTTCACTTAGAGAACACGTAGAACCTAAGAATTAATAATTTCTTATATAGCACATAAGAAACGCTACGATTCTTCTAATTGAATAAAGTTCCTAATTGGAATAAAACTCTCCCAGCCTGTCTTGGGCTATGCCATATGCAGGGCATTGTACTATACTTACCAATAAGGCCTAAATGAATACTACAAAGTTATAACAAAATTAATTTTTATTAGTGTACAAAGTATGGTTGCCAGATTTAGCACATAAAAATACCAGAGTCCCATTAAATTTGAATAAATATTCTTTTGGTGTAAGTATGCCCCATGTGATATTTAGGATGAATTTACACTAATAAAGTTATTCCTTGTGTATACGAGATTTAAATCTAACTGGGCTTATGTATTTTCTTGCAACCCTGGTGAAATGCTTCTCTAGGCAAAACCCAATTATCTGGAAATAATCGCCAAGTCTATAGCAGGCTAAGCTTCAAGGAATTAAGAAGTTATCAGAAAGGAATTTGGATTAACACCTGATAAATAATGTTTATTTGATAGTGAACTGAAATAGTGCATTTAGAGGATTTTTAAAATTCTTCCTTTGGTAATAGCATGTGAATCGCTTCAAATATATGTCTCTCTTTGAGATTCAGGCATATCATATAACTTCTGTGCCTGTTCCCTAAATCTAGATTTAGGAATTTCTCCCACATGGAAAGAAAACCACAATCTAGTTAGCCATAAAGGAGAGCTTTGAATCCCCATGCAATGCTGCCAGGAGGAGCAGGACCTGTTAATGCTACTGAGTTTTCAAAGGGGAAGAGGGGCAGCCAGCCACTTTCCTAAGCCTATACCCTAGTGTCATCCTGGGGGTGGGGCACTCCCGGAAATTTCCAGAGGAGCCTTTCTCCCTGCAGCTCTTGCTGAGAGGTGAGTAGCAGTGCCAAAGGAAAAGTCAGCCTCCTAAAACAACCAGCCCTTTGCCGCAGTTTTATTTGCAAAGATTTCCTGCTGTGGCTAAATGGTGTGACTGCTTGGTTTCTTATTTAAAAGAGTGACCCTAGTGAGACCAGAGCTTTGGGGGGCAGAGGAGGAGAATCTGATTTCAGACCAGGATAAGTAGGAGTGAACAAAGTGTGCCTAATTGAATTCCACTGATGTTCTGAAGAGTCTTGCCCCTGGTGATGGCACCTCAGATTTGGGGATGACTCTGTAATCTCTGTTAGCCCCAATCCTTTCTGGGTCCTGATAGAAAAATGGTGGCACCTGTGGCACAGTGAGTAGGGCACCAGCCACATACACCGAGGCTGGCGGTTTGAACCCAGCCCAGGCCAGCTAAACAATGACAACTGCAACAACAACAACAACAAAATTAAGATATTTTCAAGAGAGGCAAGGATCAGCATTAAGAACCATAAGGAGCTGCATTGAGGAGAAAAAGGAGGATAACAGAGGAGATGGAAGGACACAGGTGTGTGGATGGAGGAGACATCCAAGAGAAAATGTCCAGCAGCAGGTGGATACAGAACCTAAGAAAAGTCCCGGAACTGAGGCAGGAAAGGAATTTCCAGGAGGAAATCTTAGTGCAGAAGTAGGTAGATAAGTCTGAAGAGTCAAACCTGGAAGTCTCTAGACTGTCTCTCCCACTCTCTCTCTTCCTGCTTTACTCTGATGCTGAGAAATTGATGAATAGCCTGTACCATGCTATGTGAGTCTTATTTATTCCCTCTAGGGCTGGCACACTTGAGAAGGTGGAGGTGGCCTATGTGGCCATCTGACAATAACATCTAGAGCAGGGGTGACCACCAAGCAGCCTGCTGGCCACACGTTGATTTTGTGAGAATTTTTTTTGCTTATTTGTGGTGTCAGATATCACAAAAAACATGCCCCCCCTTTTTTGCTAATCAGCTTTTGTTAGTGCTGTTTTATTTAATGTGTGGTCCAAGACAACTCTTCTTCCAATGTGCAGCAGAAAAAAAAAAAGGTTGGACATGCCTGTTCTACAGGCTCTAGGACAGCTACCTTCCTGAGTGACCACATGAGAGCCTCTCAGCCCTCAGAGAGATGGTAACACATGTGGTTTCAAAGATACCAGGTTAGAGTGGGCTTTCGAGATAACATTTACACAGCAAGTAAAATAAGCCAAGAAGGAAATAAAAATATGTACAGATCGTGTTTTCCCAAAAGAAATTTTAAGATAAAAGCAAGTATTCCTGGACCATCTTCACGGACTTTAAGGTAACATCCACTTGATTTCTTTGTGTTGTTTGGCAGATATTTTGGTCTCCATATGTCTCCATTGTTCGCTTTGGTTTTAATTAACAAACATGTTGAAAAATTATCTGAATCAGATTCGGATTTAACACTCAAGACAGTGGGAGTAAAAAAAATTTATAGAACTGAATCAACAGTAAATTGAGAAATCTTTATTATCCTGCAAAGAGAAACAGAATAAGTCAGCCCCTGCATAGGAGGTGTGTGCTGAGTCTTAGAGGACACAGTCCATTCATTTCCTAAGGCCACACATTGTGTTAGGAATAGAGTCAAAGACATGAGTGAGGTAGGAAGGTCACTGCTGTCATGGAACTCCTTTCCCTTATGAGGAAGGTAGATATTAAAGCATTAAATTGCCATGGTTTGAATAATAGCTTTATTGAAAAAGTATAAGATGCAGTGAACACACGTTAGCTAGTGATGCTAGGCCAAGGCTCAGGGATGACTTCCCAGCAGAGGTGGTGCCAGGACTGATGCCTGAGGAAGGAAGAGTACCAGGCAGGCAAAGGAATAGGGCACATGTGTCTGGAGGGGAGCAGCATGCTGAGCGGTGTGCTCTAGGCAGAGGGAGAACAGAGCTGGAAATGAGAAAGGGCGCAGTGTCTTCCAAGAACCAGAGGAAGCTCAGCTGCAGGAAGGTAGTGTTCAAGGCAGAGAATAGCATGAGGCAGTTTTGGAAAGACAGACAGGGCCCATGCTGTGAAAGGCTCTATAAACTACATTAAGAAAATTGGGCCTTATTATGGGAGCAATGAAAAGCCACTGAAAGGTATTAAGCAGGAGAGTGATGAAATCACATTTTCATTTTAGATCACTCTGGCTGCAATGTAGACTGAAAAGAAGCAGAAGAGAAAGCAGGAAGATCATGTGAGAGTCCCTGCAGTAATGCAGGTCAGCAGAGGTGGCCTGGGATGGGGTAGGGAGAGCACAGCATTCCAGGGGTACTGGGGGACTAAGACCTAGAGAAAATGATTTGATTGGCTATACACATCAGGAATATGGAATCAAGGACATCTTGGAAATTTTTATATTCTGCAGCTTGATCATAGGATGTATCCTTTGCAGTTTGGCTTGGAGAGGGTGGGAATGTGATGGGAAGGAAGATGTGCAGTTCAGCTTTGGATCTGGTGAGTTCTGAGGCCCGCGGCATCCAAAGGGACATACCTGGGCACAGTTAAAAGTACAAATCTGGGGCCCAAGGGAGAGCTTCTGGCAAGATGTCAGTTTGGGGATTATACAGACGTTAATTTTATCCCTGGCAACAAATGAGAAAAGAAGAGCATCTAGGAAAGAACCCTGAGAAACACTAATATTTAAGGGATGCACGAAGAAAGGGAGTGTGCTCAGGAGCCCAAGATGGCGCCACCAGAGAGGTGGAAGGAAATTCTACCAAACAGGAGTAAAATCTAGGAATGAGAGCAAGACAAGGAAGTTCAAGGTGGGAAAATGTGAGGATTAGATCACAAAGACAGCTACCTTAAAGCTGGTTTGAGTTTCAACCTCGAATTAGAAGATTAGTCTAGAGACTGCAGTCCAACCCCTTCTAGAAGCTACTTTCAACCTCCACTAAATGCATTTTAACATTCCCAGGGTACATTTTCTAATATTTTATTTCTTAAGCTGCAGGGTGAGTACCTAAGTATGCATTAAGGTTTTATAAATACATTTCTGTATGTCTGAGAGAAGTCAAAGTAAATTTAAAATGGATGTCCAAAACATTGTAAAGTGAAAGAAGGTCAGGCTATTGAACAGAAGTATAGTTATATTACCGCAGGTGTAAAATGGTAGATTTATATCCACATAAGTATATGCACACAGAGGCATGTCTGGAAGGATGGTTACTAAATTTTGTCAATGATTATCTCTGGTTAGTTGAATTTAGGGTCATTTTTATTTTCTTTGTTGTGTTCTATTTTGTTTGAATTTTTACAATGTATGTACAGAACAGTTTAATACACATATGAAACCACACAGATAAGCTATAGAATATTCTATGCCCACATAGTCATTGAATACCCTCGGGAGGATGCACTGTTGCCATGGCAGGGTTATGTGAGTTGAGGTCCTGCTAAACAAACCAGACTGAGAGCATTCCCACTCTTAAAGGCAGGGAGAGAGGAAACAAAAGAGAAATTTTTTTTAAAAAAAGCTTGTTCTTTTAAGGGAAAAATGCTCTTAATATGCCCACAGAACCATGTAACCTATTCTCCATTCCTTCTACAAACAGCCCAGGAATCAAAGGTAAGTGGACTGGCCCTCCCTTATTTCTAAGTGTACTGTATCTTACCTAGTGATTAAGTGGTCTTGATGGATAAGATAGGCCTGGACATAACTCCAAACTGACCACCAGCTTGCAGCATGACTTTGGATAACCTATACCTACAAGCCTATTCTCTTGTACTATAAAATCAAAACAGTTTTTAAAGGCTGCCTAATGTAGTTGTTTTGAAGATGAAATGAAGTAAAACATACAAATACTTAAAATTAACATCTAGCACATGGTAAATGCTCAAAACATCAGAATTATTTTGTATTTCTTTAGGATGAGCAAACAGGATAGCAAGGTTTGGATCCAAGATGGTTCCCTGCCCCCCCCCCATTCCTAATGGATAGCTGCCTCCAAGGACAGCCTCCACCCTGCTGCCATCTTGAACTGCTTTGCCCATAGTTCCTCAGCATCCAGCCCCAGTCTTTGAAGGTCTCCTCCAATCCCCACCATCAGAATGCCCTTTGCTCAGTACTCACCTATTTAGCATATTGGACTGGTAGATTCTCTTCTCATGGGTGTTGTAACAACTGCTTTTGGGCTCAGGGATGAAGCTGTGTTCAGACAGCATGTCAGAAGCAGCAGTAGTGATTATGGCGATGCCATCTCTCACTCTGGCGGGGAGGCCATAGTCCCACTCATCGTAGGATACAGAGATGAGCCCAGTGGGGAACTCCGAGGGCACTGTGTCTGTATCCCCTGCCACCAGACTGGGCACAATCCATGTGTAGCCATAGCCAGTCAGCCCTACTGAGTTAGCCACTTCAAAGATGTAGGTGGCTTCTTCCTTAGTACAGTAAAGAAGAATGATGGGGCTTTGAAGTTTCTTGAGCTGATTCTGGATCTTAGAATCTCCATCATCCAGTGACATGTCTAGTAAGAGGACCTCCTCCAGCTCCCAGCCTACAAAGCTATTCTCAATGGTGCTGCGGATCTTGTTCACAAAGTCCTGGTAGCCAGGGAAGTAGGTGGTGACAATAGAAAAGATGTACCAGTCATATTCTTCCATAATGTTGAGCATGACGGAAGCTTGCTGTTCAATTGATGGGCCAAACTGGAAGAACATGGAAGATTCATCCTAGAATAGTAAAAGTATAAAAAAAAAAAGAGAGAGAGAGAAAGAGAAGAAAAAGAAAAAAGAGAGAAAGAGGGAGAAGACAAATCAGACCAAAGGATGGTAATGGACAGTGTGAAATAATTGAACACAAAGATTTGTGTTAGTTATTTCTGCATGTAATACCTACTGTCAATAATATTTTTTACTGTCAATAAAATATTTTTTCAATATTTTAATTGAAGACATTTGTAACATCTTTCTTCCTAAAACTATGTCCTAGATGTCACAGAAAATCAATCTGTCTAATCTCCTTGTCTGAATTCCTGGTGTCATGGCCAATGCCTAAGGCAACTCCCCAAAATAAAATATGTACCAGTCATATTCTTCCATAATGTTGAGATATTATTGTTAATATGTCTATACTAAAACATATGAAGAGTCGTGTAAAGTGGAATAACGATTTTTAATGGACTCATGTCAGTTCATATCAGGTTTTGCTGTCAAATGAATTATACGAACACATATATACACACTCACACAGACATGCGCTCTTTTTTGAGGCTTTGGAATTTCTTGATGTGGATGTACCACTCAGTCACAGAGTGAATAATCCAAAATGCTGTCAATCTATACTCAAGGTGGTGGTATAGGCTCACCAGCCCAGAAGGTGAGGTGGTGTAGGCTATAGAGGTGGTATAGGCTCACCAGCCCAGGTGGTATAGAGGTGGTATAGGCTCACCAGCCCAGAAGATGGATGGTCCTCCTGCATGGATATTAGAGAGATGTTTGGGTACTACAATACATACTGATTGGATCAGGATATATTCTGTAAACACGTCACTATTAAATTGATAGCACATTTAGTTGGCCCACCAACTTCTGCTCTGATACTAAGATAGGCAAGTTAGAGGAAGGCTCAAATAGCATATCTAAGCTCCAAGTTAAAATTACTGGTATTCAATCAGGCTCACATATGATTAAGCTTTATTTTAGATCAGCTTAAAGCAGATGGCTCTTTCTTTTCCCTACGTAACACCACAGGTGTGGGGCTGACCTGCCTATTACACACATCCCTCCATCACTTCTGAACATCTTCTGTTTTCTCCTCCCTTTCCAGGAAGCAGCCATTTTCAATTTCTCCTATTTTAACCTATATTTTACCTGCTATTCTAAGATGTCAAGCCCTGCTTTTCATCTCTACCTTATAGCTAGAAGAATCTGAAACCACAAAATGAACACCTTCTCAGCCTTGTCCTTTCTCAGTCCATTTCTCCCTGATTTCCTACCGGATAATGGCACCTCTTTCCTTGGTCTGTGCCCCCTATCTTCTATCCCGTGGTTCATCTCCATTTTATAGCAACACAGGCTAACAAAATTGTGTCTTCCTCCAAGGGTCAGTTCTTTCTTTTCCTTCAACAAGAGCTTTAAAGTACAGTTACAAGAGACCTGGGCTTTTAAACAAAATTATATAGTGATTTCTTAGTTCAGGAACATATTGTTGTACAGCTGAGAAATTGCTGAGTGTTTCTCGGGCACCCACTATTGAAAAAAATACAGGTTGGGAAATATCCAGCTGGTGTCCAAAAACCCTGATTCAGCAATGAGAGCTGCCAGCCCCTTGGCCCTGCTAGAGCTCTGTTTCCTTCTCATGGCTTAAACTCTCCCCATTTTCCACAGGCTATCCAGAAAGAAACAGCAGATGCTTGATCATTTGGGAGGGACTTTTCCTGCCTAGGGTGAAATGGTGCTTACGACGGCAGCTCCTTTTTCAGCATTTAAGTGTGCAATTGAAGAGAAACAGCATAAGACTGTGGAATTCAGAAAAATAGGGAGGATAGGGCACCAAGAATGGTAAGAGAGTAGGAATTAATTCAGAATAGAATAACTATATTGCATGTGTCCACTCCAATCCTTGGTCAGCCCCTGTTCCTAAACCTGTCCTATAACACAATTACTACTCTTCAAGCAAAGGTGACCTTCTCCTTAGGTTATAAAATGCAGTGATGCTGTGTTGTGAATGTTTATATCCCCTCAGATTCATATATGTCAAAATCCTAACTCCCAGTATAATGATGGTATCAGGAGATAGAGCCTTGGGAAAGGTGATTAGATCACAAGGGTAGAGTCCTCATGAATGAGATTAGTGCCCTTAATAAAGAGGTCCCAGGCAGCACATATAGCTCAGTGGGTAGGGTGCCAGCACATATTCCCAAGCTGGCATGTTCAAACCCAGCATGGGCCAGCTAAAGAACAATGACAACTGCAACAACAACAAAAAAAAATAGCCAGCCACTGTGGCAGGCACCTGTAGTCTCAGCTACTAGAGAGGCTGAGGCAAGAGAATTGCTTAAGCCCAAGAGTATAAAGTTGCTGTGAGTTGTGATGCCACAGCACTCTCTGTGAGCAACATAGTGAGACTCTGTCTCAAAACAAACAAACAAACAAAAAACAAAACAATAAAGAGGCCCCAGGGAGCTGCCTGCCCCTTCTACCGTGTGAGGACCCAGGAAGAGGGCACCATAGATGAACCAGAGAGTGAGTCCATCAGATGCCAAGTCTGCCAGTACTTTGACATTAGACTTCTCAGCCTCCAGAACTGTGAAAAATAAATTTCCGTTGTTTATAAACCACCCAGTTTATGTTATTTTTTTATAGTTGCCTGAATAGATTAAGAAAAGTACAGATCCAGGATAATAGAACATAATCATTCCAAGACTTGTCAGGCACCTACAGGGAACCACCACAACAGAAGAGAAAGACCAGGGACCAAACAGCTCACCTAGAACAGCTACCACTTTAAAGAAATATCCATTTGTTTTTCTTATTATGCTTCCAAGTAAAGGAAATTTTCAGGATTCCCAAATGAGAAATATTATCACGTGAGCTTCTACAAGCCCAGTGGTTATAGCAAAGCAAAAAAGCTTTCAAATACACCTTCTGGTGTACAGGCTTGGGATGAAAGGGATCCCAATCGCATACAAAGTAAGCCTACCTTTTCTGTGATAAATGAAGAAGGTTCACCAGATGGTTCTTAAAGACATGCAAAGTTCTACGTACGGTGAAACCACAGCTTACTGGAGTCCATAGTAAGCTCAAGAGAGATCTTTGAGAGAAAACCCATGAGGGTCCATACTAAATGAGCTCATGCTAATGAAATTGAATTTAAAGGAAAATTGTCTATTAGATACCTACCTGACCTCTCCCTCTCTTAGCCTTTTTCTAATACTCTCTCACAATTATAAAAGGCTTATAAAGATACTGCCAGCAATAATATGGAGGGAGCCAATGAATGGTGAGTGTAAGAAAAGAGAAAAATTGATATGGCTCCATCAAACCCCCCCCACCACACACACATCATTATCTTACCGTCTGATTCTACTGTCCTCCACAATCTCCTCCTTTTTCTAACTCTTCTGGTCCCATCAATGTCCAGCTCAACCATTTTATTTTGCCAATCCTTCATTAAATAAGGCTACTTTATATGACTATTTTATCTGGCACCAAAAGAACGTTAATGAAGCCAAACAGAAATCAAGAAACAGAGTTATAGTTTGGGCCAATGTTTCCCGGCATAATGAGTAGTCTGGCATTATTAATTTAGTTGACACATCAATCTGGTGTCCAGTGATCGGGAAGGGAACAGCTCTTTTTCAACAAAGCTTTGAGCTAACTATAAGTTCAGACAGTGACAGGCCCTGCAAATTATGGTTGCAGCCACAAATCAAAGGGCAATCTTCATGTGTGCATGGAGTGGAAAGGACTGGTAGCCACGCATCTATCTTTGCAGGCACCCAGCATGTACTGTGATTACCACAAGAGATGGAGGATGAAGGACAGAGATATAATTCTGTTTGCAGCTCACTATGCTTTCCCACTTATATGCTTTCCCACTTTCTGTCCCCTAATGCATTATAAAATGTTAACCCGCAGGGGTCCTTGGAGTCTCCTCCTGCAGTGAAGACTCCCAAATTTATTGTATTAATGTACTCTGCAATTTGTCTTGCAAGCATCCTTTAATGCATAAAGGGCCACCTTAGCTGAGATGAGCAGTTAGCACCAGAAAGGCAGAATTGTAAATCAGACTCCAGCCATCTAGAATCTTTATGTTGGACCCCCATCACTCTGACACTCATGGTGTTTATTTACTAGTAAGAAGAAACAAAAAGTACGTTTTCATCTTATTATCTGCCTCAGAAAATAATTGCCTAAAGAATTAGCAGTGAATGAGATTTTTCTTCTGTGTCACCTAGATCCCATACCAATCCACTTTAGAAATAAAATACTAAATGTCCCAGCTGCTGACATTTCCCTGGGTGATAGGCTTCTTCTCAGCACCCCCTTGGGGGATTATCTCACCTGAGGAGAGCTATATGACTCTTCCTGGGGTAGGTGATGCTAAAAGATTGGTTGTCAAGGGTACAAAGACTCAATCTTCTTGCCCTGACTCTGGACAACTCTAAAGGGTTCGTCCATCTTCAAATTCCCTAGAAGGTTGGCTGGAGCTTCTATTAAAGCCACATGACACTAGCACATCTCCTCTGCCCAGCCCTGCCTAATCTTTCCTTCCCTTTCACAATGCTGATCTCAAGAGCACTTCCTAATAAACCTCCTGCACACTTACTTCAGCCTCAGAGTCTCTTTCCCAGGGAAACCGACTCCATCCATTTCCCCTTTCTCAACATAGAAAAGAGATGGCTTAAAAGAGAACATATCTATTTGCAAATACTAAATGACATACAGTAGAAAGACAAGTCTTTGCTCATTAGATCCAGAGGAGAGAATTGGAAACAATGAGTAGAAATATTAAAAGGCATTATTTGACCCAACATAAGAAATCAATTTACGATTATAGCTTTTTAAAATGGAACGGGCTTCATAAGGTAGTGAGCTCTTGGTTGCTGTAAGTATTCAAATAGGAGCTAAATTATCACCTGCAAAGAGAAAGTGTTTCTCCCCAGTACATAGTCTGGAAAACTGCATGCTCACCTGTAAGACTGAGTTCAAGTGCAAAGTCTTCCATG